CACTACAACCCAGCCCCAATTACGAAACCAACAAAATTAAAGCAGAACCTCTGACCTTCAAACACAGTTTAACTAATCGAGTGAATCAACAATAGTCACATTCGAACCAGAGTAGTCACGTTGATGCTACTGTTTCAGATCTGGAGAGAAAAAAAAATGAAAAAAATCGAAAATAATGAAAGGGATGGAGGGTGAGGCGAGGACAACGACGGTGAATGAAAGAGAGAGAGAGTGGGGTGAATTTATAATTTTTTTAATTGAGAAGAAGAAGAGAAATTGAATTTTGGCCGGCCGACGGTGACGAGGACGCGAACAACGGTGGCATCTCCGAGGCGGACGGCTAGGTGTAGTGCGGTGAGCGGCTGTGATCGGTAGCCAGGGTGAGCGGACTACGACGGTGGTGCGGAGAAGGAGAAGGATGGCGGCGATGGCAGTTGATCTGCAGGGGAGAAAAAAAAAGAAAGAGAGAGAGAGAGAGAGAGAGAGAGAGAGAGAGAGAGAGAGAGAGAGAGAGAGAGAGAGCAATTGAGAACGAGAGTGAGAGAGAAGAGAGAGAGAGAAAGAGGGAGAGATATACAAGAGTGAGAAATAAAATTATATCACGTTAAAAACCTAACACATGGGCACTTTAGTCTTATCATGTCTGGTGAGGGGGGTCTCACTAATTTAGATTGGGATTTGGGTTTTGAAAAAAGTCTTTAAAGTCAATTGGGTTTATATCAAAATATTTTTCAAATGAGGGGGGTATTGCATATTTCCCCAAATTAAAATTGGGTATTTTAGTGAACCACTATAAAATGAGATTAGTGTATACCAAACATAATTAAATTAAAAGCAGTAGAGATTCGTCATTGCATCAAACAATTATTAAATCAATTTTTTTTTTATAATGTGATTTAAATTTTTGATGAGTTATTTATATTATATAAATAAAATAATACTTTATGTTATTATTTAGTATACTAACTTATTCATATTCTATACAGCCACAATTACACTACTTTTCTAGAGCCAAATGCGAAAAATTGTTGTGGTATAGATCTTTAAAATATATATAAAAAACTAAAAAGACTAAACTTAATGAGAAAGACAATTGATTAAAAATTTAAAAGTTAGGAGAAATGAATTGGGTTATTGGTTGGCTCCTCGGTCTCTAAACACCATCATTTATTTATGGGGAAATTTGCTAGACACCCCTTATTTTGGACTTATATGGCTAGAGATCCTAGTTGTTAGATGAATATATGCATAGGTCCTTTGACCCAATAAATTAATATAAATAAATTAAAATAATTAGTATATAGACCATAACACCCTCAATTAATAAGAAAACAAATCTTATATATCATCTCTCTCAAATCTCACGTTACTTTCCCCCTATATAATTCCTCATCTCTCTCTCCTTCTGCATCTCAATTCTCACGCCTCTCTCTCTCGTGCTTCTCTATTTTTTTCTTTCTTTTTCTTTTTCTTTTTTTTAATGAAGAAATATTATAGAGATGAAAAAAAACAAGGATCTTTTTAGATTATGAGAGGATTTCTTTGTGAAAGAATTAAAGAGGACGACAAACATCCCCTCCCAAAAAAATCAGAAATCGAAAATCCTAGCCAAATTCGCATTGTGTTTTCCGTATGTAGAACCTCCCATCGTTTGTTTTTAGCAATTTCCGTTTGCAGTTGGTTTAATTTCGTTTGTTGTTTGAAGAATTGCGTTTGATATTGAGATTCGATTCTTCTGGTTTACAATTTGCAAGGTATGTCTTAAGTTACATTTTACAAACATTTTGTTTAATGTTTTTATTGTTTGCAAATTGTTCTATAAACAATTTTTTGGTTGATGTTTTTAATGATGCTGAATTTTTTTTTGTTGATGTTTTTAATGATGCTGATTTTTTTTTCTTTTAGTTTGCTGTTTGCATTTGGCCAAGTCATGGGTAGTTTAATGCTTGCAATTCAATAATGCAAGTTTTGCTGAATGTTTTTCTTCAGTTTGCTGTTTGCATTTGGCGATAGGTAATTTTTTGTTTGTAATTTAGTAATACAAATTATGAATTTTGTTTTTTCAGTTTGCTGTTTGCGTTTGGCGAAATCATAAGTATTTTGTTGTTTGCAATTCAATAATATATATAAAATCTAATTTTCGGTTTGCTATTTGCAGTTCGCGGAGTCATGGACGTGGTGATGGGGCTGCGGTGACGTTTTTAGAGTATGAGTTTGTAAAATAAATTGTATATTTTTGTTATGAATTAATTTATTTGTTTTAGTTAATATTTGGAAGAGAGATGTTTGGGAATTTGTTTTGATAGAGAGATTTTTGGGGATTTGATTTGATTTGATTTAACTAAGGGTATTTTTGCCATAATAAATATTATTAATTTATTAAAACATTAAATTTTGACTTGGATTTACACACATAAATTATAATATAGAGGGACCTATAGCAAATTGCCCCTTTATTTATTAGATTACATTAAATGCGCATAAGACTATACGCATATAGAAAAAATGCATAAATTCATATTGAAGAGTCAAATTATGATTGAAGGGGCAGATTAGTAAATTAATCATTTTCTGGATGACCAGAATCTGGCCAACCATCATTACCGATATATATATATATATATATATATTATATATATATATATATATATATTTGATAAGATATTGACAAAAATACCCCTCAGCAATTGAAAACTTGACAGCCCAACTACTATCATTTAATCCAAAATTCCACCAATGTGGAATCACATTTTCATGACTTGACTACAGCATAATCAATAATCAATAATATGGAAAAAAAAAAACCGAGTTGATTCTGACCAAAGGTTCTGTGTTTACACTCATATTCATGAATATATATATATATATATATATATATATACTTTCACACCCTCTTACTACTAAACAAATTTATCTTAATTGTCTAATTTGATTATCCTAATATGAGTACATTTTTAAACGAGTCGTCGTCTCCAAGTGGGATACTCAATTTATTAAGCCGGTGATTAAAATTGACCGAACAATTAAATATTTTCTTATTATAAAATAATTTGCATTATTTTTAATATTTGCAACTAGGGTATACTCTTTTTAGGTGGAATACTTTTAAATATTCAAGTTGACATGTTTGAAAATTTGTATAGAGAAAATGCTCTTATGATTTCAAAAAAATAGATTAATATTTGACTAATCTTGAAAAATAGTTCTAGTGGCTGTTTACGGCGTCTGTGGGTTGCTACACCCGACGTAACACGAATACACATAAGTGTGTGTTATTATGTGTGATTAAAAGTTCAGGATTATCCGGTGTAATTCATTCAGTGTAGTATCTACAGAACCATTTACGAGGGAATATTGTCAATGTATGGAGAAGGGGTTGTTAGTAATAAATTTTCAAGTTCCACCCACCACAACAACAACAATAATAATAATAATAATAATAATAATAATAATAATAATAATAATAATAATAATAATAATAATCATCGATTTGCAGCATTAAAAATAAAAAAATAATAATGATGGCTTATGTTTAATTGGGAATTAAAGGGCTGCTGATAGTAACAGTCAAATCTGTGAAGACAAATCACGTGATTGGTCTGGTAACCACGTGGCATGTTCTACGATATCACACTTTTCCATATAAAACAAACCATTGCTGACGTGTCAAATTACGTTTGTATCAAATGATTATGCAATAATTTCAGATTATGGAACAGTTTTAATTTAAAGTAATGAGATAAAAACTTGTTAGAAGGATCAAATAAATATTCGATGTAATTTATTTTATATTGTTATTCAATCATTGCTGTCAATCCATGTAATTGTTAATAAAACAAGAAACATATAATATATATTTGTATTTAATTGACGACTCAAATGATATTTATTAAGATATCAAATATTATAATTGCATATAGATTGATTAATATGAATTAATAAATATAGAATAACCAATTAATCAAACTTGTATGGATAATTCTTTTATAAAATGATTATAAAATGAATCTCAAATCATTAAAATTCTTATTTTGAACCGCTATTTGAGTCGTTTCATAGGTTTTACTTTTTAGAGGTAAATTACGATTTTGCTGTGGTAAGCACAAATTACAAAAAAGTCCATAATGTTCGGATAATTGTAATCACACCACTCATTTATATAGTGTTTTATAAAAAAGACCTTCTTATTATGTACGTAAATTTGATACTATAAGGATGAACGTGTAAGATAATATACATAGTTAATTGGATAATTGTAATTACCTAAATATGAAAGATTTTTTTGTAATTTGACCCAAATTTTATCCATAAGATTATTGGTTGACTTATATAATAGTTGCAGAAAAGATAGTACCAGGGAATAAATTAAAGATTAGGTAGTGCATACAATAAAGTTTGATGTAATTGAAATATCTAATTTAAAAAAAAAAAAGTAACAAAAATTAAAAATTAAAAAGATCCATGCAGAGAGAACATGGCAAACAAAAACAGAGCACATATTAAATACAATTCACGAGAAGGAAAAAAAAAAGTAGGTAATCAAAGCAGTAGATTTTGGTGCATGAATTAAAGCCAATATCCACCCAATCCAATTACGCCAGCTGTACACTTAAATAATAAATAATGCCAGGCTGGATTGCCAAGGTGGAAAACATTTATTTATATTCCTCATTTAATCTTTAATAAAGACAACACTAATCTTTTTTTCTTTTTTTCTTTTTTCTTTTTTACACAGTTATCGAAATAGCTTCAAACAGTAAATTGTGACTGTAGGGGGGTCGTGGCCCCCCCGTTTACCTTCCGCCATTGCTACCTACTTAGCCATTAAATTAAGAGAATTTAATGGTGTTAACAGATTCGAAACAAAAATTAAACAATTACCAAGAAGACGCCACTGGCTAAACTCGCTCGTAATTACTTCCCCATTGGTGGGTCTCTCTCTCTCTCTCTCTCTCTCTCTCTCTCTCTCTCTCTCTCTCTCTCTATATATGTATATGTATATATAAACCTCTCTCCGAAAACCCAGCATCTCTGATTTCTTATTATTCCCCCATTAGAAAATAATTCCTATTTCTTGTTTTAATTGCAATGGGGATTTTCCCACCGTGTCATTCATCAGAGATGATGGAGAAATTGCTGGGTTCGGTGTGCGGGAAAATTAAGGATGAACCAATTGTTGAGCTGAAGAAGGTAAAGGGCACAGTTGTATTGATGAAGAAGAATGTAATGGACGTGACTGATTTTGGGTCGTCGATTCTTGATCGGTTTCACGAGCTTTTCGGTAAAGGCGTCTCTTTGCAGCTTGTTAGCTCCGTTAATGGCGACTCTGGTTTGTTTCTCTCTCTCTCTCTCCCTCTGCTCTGCTCTTTCTCTCTCCTCCCCCTGTTTCTCTCTCTCTCTTTGTGTGGAATGAAGAAATGGGGTGGTGAATGATCATGGGTTTTTTCTTCTCCTATGTGTGAATGTGTCTCTCTGTGTGTGTGTGTGATCAAGAAATTAAATGAAGAAATGGGGTAGTTAAGATTTAAGAATCATGGGTTTTATCTTGCTGCCAATGATGGCGACCCGGGTTTTGTCTACTCTGCTCTTTTTCTCGTGTGTGTTTGTGTGTGTGTGTGTTTAATCAAGAAATGGAATCAAGAAATGGGGTTAGTCAATAATTAATGGAAAGTAAACAAAGAATCAGCTACTAAAAAATTGCAAAAATTAATGGCTTTCTTTCAGTTGTATGTCTCTGTGTTTGTGTGTGTGTGTGTGTGTGTTTGTGTGTGTGTGTGTGTGTGTGTGTGTGTGTGTGTGTGTGTGACTGTGTGTAATAAAGAAATGGGGTTAGTCAGTAATCATTGCTTTTTGTAATTATTGGAAAGAAAACAAAGAATCAGCAGCAACTAAAAAAATTGCAAAAATTAATCTAAATTTTTTATATGATCATTGCTTCATGTAAATCATCTGTATGTATGTGTGTATGTCTGTGTCACTGTGTGTCTGTGTCACTGTGTGTGTATAGAATGAAGTAAAGGGTGGTCAATAATCATGGATTCATGGATTCAATGGCAGCAAATGAGAACAAAGGCAAACTAGGCAAAGAAGCATTCTTAGAAAACTGGATCTCGAAAATCACCTCACTCAACGCGAAAGACGAAGCCTCGTTCGACGTCGTTTTCAACTGGGACGAATCGCATGGAATCCCAGGTGCATTCATCATCAAGAACCACCACCACAGCCAATTCTACCTCAAGTCACTAACACTCGAAGACTTCCCTTCTCACGAAGGCCCGATCCACTTCGACTGCAATTCTTGGGTTTACCCCACTCACCGCTACAAATACGATCGCGTCTTCTTCACTAACAAGGTAGTTAAAACTTTTTCAAGATTCATTACATTTCTAAATAATTCGAATGTACACAAAACTCCGAGATCAATGTTTTTTTTTCTACAGACGTACCTTTTTGATGATACACCGCAGCCGCTTCGGTTTTACCGAAACCAAGAACTGAAAAATCTTCGAGGAGAAGAGATTAGTAGTGGCGGCATGTTGAAGGAGTGGGATCGAGTGTACGACTACGCGTATTATAACGATTTGGGAAGTCCCGAAAAGGGGAAAGATTACGCCCGCCCGTCTCTCGGTGGCAATTCGGATTATCCGTATCCGCGTAGAGCGAAAACGGGTCGTAAACCGAACAAAAAAGGTATATATCGTTGGAAGTTAATATAGTCATTTTGTTGTTGTGGTAAAGTCTTGCTGAATTTATTCGAGTTGACTTGCAGATCCCAATTCGGAAACAAGATTATTCCTCTTGAGTTTGAGTATTTACGTCCCGCGCGACGAAAAATTCAATCAAGTGAAATTTTCCGATTTCATCGGATACGCAATCAAATCCATCGGTCAGGTATTCGTACCCGAGATCAAAGCTGTGTTCGACAAAACAATCAACGAATTCGACACTTTTCAAGACGTGCTGAATCTATACGAAGGTGGTGTGAGGCTTCCGGAAGGTCAAACCCTGGACAAAATCCGGGCCCACGTACCGTGGGAGCTTCTCAAGGAACTCATCCGATCCGACGGCGAACGGTTTCTCAAATTCCCCACCCCTGATGTCATCAAAGGTATTAACAAAAAGAATATACATTTTCAAAAAAAATCAGACAGCGTTAACGAATTATTACGAAAAAAACGTAAGTTCTTGATTTTGATCCATGCAGAGGATAAAACAGCTTGGAGAACCGATGAAGAGTTCGGTAGAGAAATGCTAGCCGGAGTTAACCCCGTTATTATTCGTCGTCTCCAGGTAAAAATGGGATCTTCCGTCGAATATTAAATTTTCGTTACGAATAAATAATATTAATATTTTTATAATTTCACAGGAGTTTCCACCAATCAGCAAATTGGATCCTCAACAATATGGAGATCAAGATAGTACCATTAGACGAGAACACCTTGAGAAAAATATGAACGGGCTTTCTGTCGATGAAGTAATATATATATACGCACACACACACACACATATATATACTCCTTGTCTATTTTCTTACCGATTTTTTACGGACAAAGTAGGCTAATATAATGTTATTACACAGGCTATGGAAAAGAATAAGCTGTTCATATTGGACCACCACGATGCTCTAATGACGTACCTTAGGCGAATAAATACGACAACAACAAAGACTTACGCGAGCCGGACGATACTTCTTCTCCAAGAAAACGGGACTTTAAAGCCACTTGCAATCGAACTGAGTTTGCCACACGAAGAAGGAGACGAGAGAGGAGCGGTCAGCAAAGTATTCACTCCTTGCGATGATGGAGTCGAGAATTCGATTTGGCAGCTGGCGAAAGCTTACGTGGCGGTCAACGATTCGGGCTACCATCAGCTCATTAGCCACTGGTAATAAAACAATAAAAAAACACCGAAAAACACGATTTGTTTTTTTTTTCTAATTTTTTTTTTTAAATGCACGCAGGTTGAACACGCATGCGGTTATAGAGCCGTTTATAATTGCTACAAATCGACAGCTCAGCATTGTTCATCCGATACATAAGCTTTTAAAACCTCATTTTCGAGATACGATACATATAAACGCCTTGGCTCGACAAATACTCATCAATGCAGGGGGAGTACTGGAGAGAACCGTATTTCCAGGAAAATACGCAATGGAAATGTCGTCCGCCGTTTATAAGAACTGGAACTTCACCGAGCAGGCCCTTCCGGAAGATCTGATCAAACGGTTAGAAATTCGTTACCAAGATTCCTACTTTCCAAAAGTTTTTTCTTTTTTTTGGTCGTAAAAATTCAATCTTGATTTTTTCTTTTCGTAAAAAATCGATACTGAGTTTTTTTTGGGGGGGGCTTCAATGCAGAGGAATAGCAATTCCGGACTCGAGCGAGCCACACGGGCTAAAACTCGTGATCGAGGATTATCCGTTCGCAGTAGATGGATTGGAGATCTGGTACGCAATCGAATCTTGGGTGAAAGAATATTGCTGTTTCTACTACCCTACAGATGATGTCGTCAAAGGAGACACCGAGCTTAAAGAATGGTGGAAAGAGGTAAGAGAAGAAGGGCACGGTGACTTAAAAGAGAAGCCATGGTGGCCGAAAATGGAGACGCAGAGCGAACTTATTCAGACATGTACGATAATAATATGGGTCGCTTCTGCCCTTCACGCAGCAGTAAATTTCGGGCAGTACCCTTACGCGGGGTACCTTCCGAACCGGCCTACCGTGAGCCGAAGATATATGCCTGAAGTGGGATCCGCAGAGTATGCTGAGCTGGAGAAGGACCCCGATTTGGCGTTCTTGAAAACCATAACCGCGCAGTTTCAGACGCTTTTGGGTGTTTCTTTGATCGAGATACTTTCGAGGCATTCGACCGATGAGGTTTATCTAGGGCAGAGGGATACGGTGGGCTGGACCACGGACGATCGGCCCTTGGCGGCGTTTGAGCGGTTTAGTGCGGCTTTGGTGGAGATTGAGACGAGGATTACGGAGCGGAACGATGACGTGGCGCTGAGGAATCGGGTGGGCCCCGTTAAGGTGCCGTACACGTTGTTGTATCCGAGTACTTCGGATACGAGTAGGGTTGGAGGGCTTACCGGGAAGGGGATTCCGAATAGCGTCTCGATTTGAAGTTATTTGTGTATAGTGTAATATGGTTAGAGAATAAGTGTCGAAAGTTTTTTTCGTGTTGTTGTGAGTTTGTTTGTTTGTTTGTTCTTCATTGGTTATATTACATAATAAAAGAAGTATTCTTTGTTCACATTGTTTGTAAGCATTTGTAAAGTATTTGTAAAAGAATTGAGCCGAATCGAAAGCAGTTTGTTTGAATTTTTATCGAGTTGTAATAAATTGTGTTTGAACTTGGTTTGATAAGCAGCTGAGTCGAGCTTGAATGATTCTTTAATCGTCGATCATGAACCATACTAGTTTGATTTTTTGTTTGTATTTTACAATTCTTGTAAATCAAACTCAAACTAGGGCCAAACTACATAGCTAATCGAATGCATATGTTCGAACTTGATTTGTTATGCAACGAATCGAGCTCGAACGAACTTCTTCGGATTGATCTTAATTCAATATCTATTAATTTGGTATGAATAAAAAAAAAAAAAAAAAAAAAAGCAAAATTAAGATTATTTAATAATTTATTTAATTTATGTTCATAGATCTTGAAAGACACTAAATAGACAAAATTAAAAAATAAATAAATATCTCAATCTATATATATAGACAAAAATAGATAAATAGGCTTTCTAAAAAGAAATGGCTAATCCTACGTGTCAGTTTCAAACGTTCTAATTGGTCCAACACCATATCACCTTATCAAATATCCAAATTTCCCTCCACACAAAAAATAACCAAATTCCAAACCCTAAATTCTCATCAAATATTCATTCAAATCCAGAAAAATAAAAAATCACTGGAAAAAAAAAATCATGGCAATGGCAACTCAAGCATCTCTCTTCACCCCCACCCTCTCCGGCCCCAAATCCGGCGATCGCGCCGCCGCGCCATGGAAGCAGTCCCTGGCACAATTCTCCGCCGTGAAGCCGATGAAGGGCGCCTCCGCCGTCTCGCACCGCCCAATCCGCGCCATGGCCGACGAAGCTCCCGCCGCGACTAAGGAGCCGGAAGCGCCGGCCGGATTCACCCCGCCGGAGCTCGACCCGAGCACCCCGTCGCCGATATTCGGCGGCAGCACCGGCGGGCTCCTCCGGAAGGCGCAGGTGGAGGAGTTCTACGTCATCACGTGGGAATCACCCAAGGAGCAAGTGTTCGAGATGCCGACCGGCGGCGCCGCCATCATGAGGCAGGGCCCGAATCTGCTGAAATTGGCCCGAAAGGAGCAGTGCTTGGCCCTGGGGACCCGATTGAGATCCAAATACAAAATCAAGTACCAATTTTACAGGGTTTTCCCTAATGGAGAAGTGCAGTATCTCCACCCGAAAGACGGGGTTTACCCGGAGAAAGTCAACGCGGGCCGTACCGGAGTCGGGCTTAATATGAGGTCCATCGGCAAAAACGCCAGCCCGATTGAGGTCAAATTCACCGGCAAACAGGTTTACGACTTGTGAAAAGGTGATATGTGTGTTTGGTGTAATTTGTTGTAATATTTGTGTGATTAAATGAATTATTATTAGTTATTTTGTGTTTGTTTGATGTATTTTGTGTATGGTTTCAAAAAATACTCTTGTTATCTATTTCATCCCCTGAGGATTTTTTTTTTCCTTTTCCGATTTGTTTCGTAATTAGTTAGGGCTGGAAATTGGAATGGAATTTTCTAATTATGTCGATTTATTTCCTGAAATTTCTAATTTCGAAACAACGTTTTTTCATTCCGACTTTCAAAAATTTTGATTTCTGATTTTCAAAAATAATTCCAAAATTTCATTTTAATCCAAAAATAATACTTAGAATATCAATATTTTTGTGTAGTGTATATTATATGCATATAAATTGGTAGAACTTTGGATTTCGTCGATTGCATATCAAAAATACATTTTCGAATAAGTTATTTCATTTCAATTTATGATGTTTCTGGACTTTAATCGGACTTGTATCCTTTCCACAAATTGGTAATTTAAATCAAATCCATTTAATTTCAGATTATTTATCCCGAATGAACTTTTACCACTGATTTACACACAAATATAGGTATATGTGTATGAACGAATGATAACTATCTAGCCGATGTATTTCACAGCGTAGAATAGTATAAACCTGAGTTTCCATCCTTATGAGTTATTACTAGTGGATCAATGTTTAGTATTTAATTTTATATATGAGTTCTTGAATATTCTTGGCACAATTAATTATAAAATGGCGAAAATATTTATATACTTCCATTATTATTGAATATCTAATAGGAATAGAATATCATAAATAAAATAATCATTAACAAAAAAAAACACGTTAAGTAGAATATTAATATCTGACCATATGATTAAGATACTCCAACTCCCACAAAAGATAATGACAACAATTATTTTACAATTAGTGGAATATTTTTATTGCATTGATACAACAGCCAGAACTATAATATATTGTTCTAAGCTAATTTTTTATTTTTTTATTTTATTAATTAATTATTTTTATATTAAAATAGATTTTAAAATGGTTGTGCCTATCCTTGTCCGATCCCCACTCGGAGAACATGACATGTCCTCCACGTAGACATGCTCATCAGAAAATAATATTTTATTTTTATTTCATTAGATTCCAATTCCAAGAAACTACATAATATTTACTTTAATTGTGCTTATTAATTACAACTTATTGTCGGTTTAGTAAAATAATGTTGAGTCAGCTTACGATATTCGTGAACAAAATTGACAAAAACTCGAGTTCGAATACTCACTAAACTATTCAAAAGATAAATAAAATACTACTTTATTTTTTTAAAGTCGAGCTCGAGCTTAAACTCATATATTCCAGAAAGTAATTACATATTTTTTTTATTTAGTGGCATATTAATGCTTCTTTTTTATTTTTGTGCAAACGAGCGTACAACACAAATAATTTACATTGAGATGAATGTACAAGAGGTTGATGCATAATGTACAACAAGAGTTTCAAGCACCAACAGAAGTGGCTGAAATAAGTGAATCAATTTCAGTTAAGGCGTGGCTAATCCTCTTCTTATCACTGTCATTAGCGTTAATCTCTTCATTAATTACCCATATTTCTGGAATCACTTGTGCCATGTTTGTTAATATCTCCAATGCATAATCCGCTTCTTTGCTCTTAATTGCGCTACCAACCTTTTTTCCAATTCATATAAAAATGTACATTTCAATTAAATCATCCCAATAAATAATATCAAAAAAAATACATGAATCACGAGGCACGCGTTGTACAAGTAACTGTTTTTTCGGGGAAAATTACAGTTTTCACCCCTCAAGTTTGTACTGATTTCACATTTGGTCCCCTTTATTTATAAAAAACACATTTGGTCCCTCACGTTTCAATAACTTGACACTTTTAGTTATTTTCGTCAATTTACAATTAGTACTTCAGTTTAAGGCAGTGATGTGCACACGCTTTATTCCGTTAATACTAACAGAAAATTGACGGAAATAATAAAAAATGTCAAATTATTGAAGCATGTGAGATTAAACGGGTTTTTTGTAAATATGAGGGACCAAAAGTGAAATTGGTGCAAACTTGAGGGACAAAAACTGTATTTTTTTCCTTTTGTTGATTTACACGTGGCAAACAGAAATATTCAGACTCACCAGAACTGTTCGGAGGCCAAAGATTTTCCCAGCTGCAACGTTCTTCACATTGTCGTCAAAAAACAGCTGCAAATTTCGACGATTATTTATTTATTTATTTATTATTAAAAAATAAAAATGAAAAAATTATCGAGAAATTGGATTTGATCGTGTGGAGCGGCGGCGTACCGTACGGCGGGGGTCAACCTCTGCCACGTCAACACCGATCTTCATAGCTTCGATCGACGGCTTCAAAACCACCGGAAACTCGTCGGGGCGGTTCGATTTCCACAAATTAGGGTTCATCGTCTCGAAACATATGATTTTCTCGAAGCAATCTCTGATTCCCAATCGATCCAGTGCTTTATCCGCGTGAATTCTGTCCGAATTCGTGAAAATCTACCCAAAAAAAAATAAATATATATATATATATATATATATATATAATCACCGCCGATGAATTTTCAATTATTCATCATAGTTTTGTTTTTCTTACGATTTTCCGTTGGTTGATCGACTGTAAGAGGCGGCGCAGCCGTGGGTCTGGCCGGATCAAATCATAGGGCAATCTTCCGTGCACGAAACTATATATCGACGGCGGAAATTTGAAATTGAAGGTCAGTTTTTTTTTTTTTTTTTTTTTTTTTAATAATTCATATTAGTGATTTTTTTAATACGAAAATGAAGGAGTTCTTCTCTTAATTACCTGTGGTAATCATCGGGATTAATGTTATACCCTAAAGCCTGCAAAAATAATTAGGCGGATAATTAATACAGATTAATATATAAATTGAAATAATTAGTTTAAATATTTAGAAAAATGAATATAAAATTAAATAAAGTAAAAATTACCCGAAGGCCAGCTAAGGAGCTTCCATAAGTTCTAAAAAGCTCTCTGTTTACATTTGGCGCTTCTGATTCTGCAAACCCACATTTCTCAACAAGAAAATCTGCATTTAAAAAAATTAATTAATATTTTAATTAAAAAATTAAGAAAATAAATTAATAATATTAATTAATTAATTAATTAATTAACCTTGAACGTTTTGCTTAAGAGCTTGCCCAATTCCAGACTTGGAAGAATACAAAGTATCGTCCAAATCTGCCCATAAACAATTTCAACAAAATAATTATTGCATGAACAAAATTATTATTTTTTAATAAAATTATTATTATTACAAAAAAAAAAAATTGTGTGTAATAAATAGTTACCAAAGATGAGAGAGTCAAAGGGGGAAGAAATGGTGCAAGAAGCCATGGAAATGGAAGAGGGACAAACTTTGTTGAGAAAAAAAGAATGAGGGGCTTTTTGGTAAATTTACTTTGGAGGTTTGATGGAGGATTTGTGATGGAAAGGGACAAGAAGGGGATTTTGAAGAAGATGGAGAGAAGGGTATTTATAGGAAGTGGAATTAATTAAGGGGTTGAAAAGAAATATCAGGAAAACCGAATTTGATGTGATTGATGACTCAGCGTGGGACCCACACGTTACCTCATATATTCATCTTATTAGTAGAGAAGTTTAGTGATTTGTTTATGCTGGGGCTGGAAATCGGACGGAGTGGATCGGAAATACCTTTTTCGGAAATTTTTCAATTTTTTTCGAAAGTTAAAAATAGGTTCCAATTTCCATTCCAAAAAAATCGAAATTTCAAAATCCATTCCAATTTCGGAATACCTCGGAATCGGCGGAATTTCAGAATTTTCGGAAATTGCATTAATTCTTAATTTTTTGTTACAAAATCGGAAATAATGGTAATTTTAAGATTTTATTTCCTAATATTTTCGTAATTTTTCGACAAAATGCAAGAATCCAAAACAAAGGTCAATAAGATAAAATGTAAACACTTGTAAAAACACACATAATCAGCTTATCAAAGCAAACATAGTTCTTGCAAAACATGAATAGAAAAACAATTCAGAAATATATATATATATATAAAACAATGCATAACATTTATTTTTTATATAACATATTATATATATCATACATTATATATTTCGGAAATAAAATCGGATCGGAAATCGGAATTTCCAATAATTTTACTTGTAATTCCAATTACGTTCCAAAAATAATCGGAAAAATCGGAAATCGGAATGAAAAAATGGGTTCCAAATTCGGATATTTTCGGATCGGAATTGGCGGAATTCGGAAATTCCATTCCAATTTCCACCCCTAGTTTATGGGTTAATTGTCCGAATTAGTGATTAAGAAAAGTTGCACCGACCTTTTAAGTGAACATTAATTAATATTTAATGTTATGCTTTGGTTTGGCTCTAGATTGTTATAGGGGCCGAACTTATCTGACTTTGGAGTATAATCTTCAAGATTCCGTTACTCGTAATTATGTATGGATGTAACTGTAAGATGGAGAAATAGTTCGGGGAAATATTTGTAATTAGCAATACCACAAGGGTTTATAGGTTATTTAGTCTTACTTCAGCGGTGTACGTAATTTATGAGAGGAAAAAGTATGATAAATTAATTTCTATAGTAGCATTGACCGTTTTCTGAGAGCACGGTTGACCATTTAATAAAATAGTGATCTTACGAAAATGTTCTGATAATTGATGGTGAACTTTTAACTGTCGATGACAGTGATCATTTTATCGTCTCACTGCGTGGTCTTATTTTGTTGATAGATGCGCCTTGTAGTTTGTGTGGATTTTTAGCTGATAAAATTGTGATGGTATTTTTTGTAAAATAAACGAGCGATGAATTTTTATTGAAAATGAAAGATCGAATATTTTTTTATTGCAACTAGGGACTTTTTAGCTTATTGCCTTAATAAATAATGATTATGTTCTAGTGAAGTGCTGTCAAGCATTTTAATTGAAAATTAGTTATGTTTGGTGATTAGACATTTATAACGAATAAAAAATGCGACGTGACCTTATGTTTACTCCAATAATTGTCCATTTCTTTTTTCTTTTTTTAATAAAATGGCCTGAAAAACGTGGATGGAGATATATTAATAATTTCACTTTTGACTACGTGCCCTTTATTCTTATTTCGAATTAGTCAACTATATATCATTATATTGTCTTACGCATTCATTTTTATAATGTGAAATTTATCTACTAAATAAGGGGTTTTTGTAAGATAAAACTTATTTGAGGGAATAATTGTAATTATCAAAATAATAGGGGTTTTTCTGTAATTTGACCTTACCTCATGGCTGGCTGTAATTTATTCTAAATTTAATTGGAGGTTACCAATATAAGAGAAAATATATATTTACCTAAAGAATGTTTGAGTTATTCTGCTAATTATAGAATAAAGTAATTTTCGTAATTACGCAAACATGAAGGAAATTTTTGTAATTAGGCTTTATCTCAGGGGGGTTATCGTAATTTCCCAATATATAAAACTTGTTATGCTCACCAAACTAATAAATCTCTAGCCCGAAAGTGTTGCCCACTAGGCCCAATGCTTATTTTCAGCTTGTGAAAAAAGAAATATACTCAATTTAATTTCGGATTAAAATAAATAAACACTCTGGAAAATGGAATTATATATAATTAAAAAAAAAATCCAAAATCCATAAAGTAAACTTTGAGGCTTCACTATTACATAAGCCACAACAGAAGTAGAGAGGAGACCAACACTTCCTTAATCTTAAACCTAAAATTTCTTTTATTACTTTTTTTTTGATCCACACTTTGTTTTTTAAATTACTCACTTAAATAGCATGAAATATAATAATTCCAGAAACAGATATAAAGCTTAATTACTTCTTTCTGTAAGCATTTCCATGGTCATAAATGAACCTTGCATTTCCTTCACTATAAACATGTGTCTCATTGTTCAACCTGCAATTAATCAAATTAAATAAACACGTGTTAAATTAAAATCTATTAATTTATATTTTGCAAGAATGTGAATATTATATTGAAATAAAATTGATTAATTTATTTTATTTACGATTTTCGGACAGCTTTGCACAATGTAGAGGACGACGAGAATGTTTTGCCATCAAGATATCTGTTCTCCCCTTCGATTCTCTGTTTTATTCTCATATCGAATTCATCGGCACTCAGTGTGAACGGAGAATCCGATGCCTGATTATTATTTTTATACCATCAAATTAAACAAAATAATTTAAACAACAATTATAATTTTAAAAAAGAAACATATAATATCAAGAATTTTTTTTATTAGATTAAAAATGTTATGACATAACATATAATTGATACCATGATCCACCCCCACGTGTCAGCATATGATGGGATATGAGCTGAATAAGGTACAACATCTGCACATAAATCATAATTTTTAATAAATATATATATAAATAAGAAGCCCCTTTTCCATAATTTATAAAAAAATTATTTATTTATTTATTATTATTTTTTAATCAACTTACATTTGAAAACCTGCTTCAGAGTGTTGAAGATGCAAGAAAACACTTCTGTGTGGCTGAAAATTCCAGCTGGCCCTGCCTGTATTATTGGAAATTATTTAAATTGTTTATATTTATATAAATATAAATAATTTGAATGAATAAAAATCACACACACTAACCTGTGTAACAAAGATGCCAGCTGGATTAAGTTTTGGTTTAACAATTAATTCATAAAAAGATTTGGTGTAGAGTTGGTAACATGGCCCTCCTTCAATTGGATCTGCTAAATCTCCTATTATTACATCATAAGTCTCTTCTCTTCTTTCAAGTTCAGCCCTAAATAATTAAAATAAAGTAAAAGAAAAAATAAAAATAATTTCTTTTAAATTAATAAAATTATTGGACAAAAATAAATAAATAAAAAACCTAGCATCATTGATTATGAGTTCAAGTCTAGGATCATAAAAAGCTTCCTTGTTGACCAGCAAATGTGACTTGCCAAAGTTTACCACTTCCTGCATCATAATTAATTAACTAATATTGCCATTTAAGAATAGAAAAAAGGGATATTATATTAAATTAAATATGGAGCTTAGTAATTAATAATATTATTTTATTATTATTATATAACTCATCAATGTCACACATTATAACCTTATCAACAGCCCAGTGTCTGAGTATTCTCTTGCAGTAGAGCCT